GGGCTTTGTGACCTACCACGTCTACTGGATGAAATAGCATGTCGTGGCACGTCACATGTATTTATGTTGCTGCTTCTGGAGAATCTCGGAGGCTCTTGAACAGACAATTGGCGCCCTCTGCGGTGCTGACCCACTCGCGAAACTCTCGCAAGGATTGAGAAATCGCCCGACCTTTAGCTGTGGAGGAGACACGAGCCGCTGAGTCGACTATGAGCCGCTGAGTCGCCACTGCAGAACCGCGATAGGAGCTTTGCCTATGTTTGCCAAACCTCCTTGCCACGTTGCCTAGACAGGATCCTGTTCTCGAAGAACAGTGTGGACCCCTTCTGGAAAATATGTGCTCAATCTCCAGCATGCTCTCGATAACTCTGATTGTTGCTTGATGCCGCTCCCTCTTGTGCGATGTCTGTGCAGCTGAGCCAAGACTGTGTGCGCCTGTTGCCACCGCGAAGTCACGCGATCGCGGAGTGGCGCCGAGCGCGCCTTGGCAGGCTGTTGAAGATGCTTGAGGCGCATGCTGGGCCCTTCGGCACGCCCTCGGATGAGGTGCCTTATCCAGCTCACCATGATGATCCATGATGGTGTACTCAACAGCTGTGACCCAAGAAGCATATTGTGCTGAGACCTGGAGAATACTAGAGCCACCAGCCGAAAAGGCTACGGATTGACTAATGGGATTACACACTTCAGAACGTCCGGGATCCATGTCTTGAACACGCTTCCAATGCTGATCCCAAGTCTCATATGGCATGTGAAACTCTGGTGGACACCCCTGGCCAGCCACGCCTTCGGGAACATCGTTAAAATCCTGCCCTTGTGCTGGGGGGGGGGGGGGGGGGGGGGATTATTTTCTGGCGCTGCCTCCGACCCAGCGCGGATACCCTCGGCCGACGACGGATGACCAAAAGGAGGAGGAGGAGAGGAGACGGAGACGGCGACCTCGGGGCGAACAGAACCTTGATGGGAAAAACAGGTTTCGTCGGCCCACGGGTCAATCTCGTCATCCTCGGGATGTAAAACGTCGTCAGGCTCGGGCTCGAAATCTCCGATCTGGGGTTCGGGGGCAGAAGCCGCCGCAGGCGCCGACTCTTGGGTGTCCTGTGGGCTTGCTTCACTGAAAAGAGCTTCGTATAATTTTATCCTACGCTGTTTTGATTCGCCCCTGGATGCTTGCTTCTGCATTTTAGCACGGGAAGACTTGGAACCGGAGACAGGGGCCGAACCAGGCCTGGAAGACTGAGGCAACTTGGTTGGGACCTCCAGTGACCCACAGAGCAGCTGCCTACCAGAAGCACGGATAGTGAGCTCGAAGCCTACGCGGGTCTTCCAAGGCACTTTGGTCTCAGGATCCAGAGCGACAATGTATGGAAGACAGCTTTCGCTCGCGACGACGTAGTCTATGAGCGATCCTTCGGCGCTGGCGCTGCAACTGGCGACGACGGAGCCAGCGACGACTGCCCCCCCCGCCCTGCGAAGAAAATCAGACTGTGCAAGACGCTGTGCTGGCGCATTGAAATCTCCCGCGATCAGCCATGGGAGTCTGAGTGAGGTAACTAAAGCCCCGAGACGAAATAACCTCGACAAGTTAGGCCCGTTCAGGCCTACACCCGAGAAACCGTAAAACCTGATAATGACTCAGCTAAATCCCTGGAAGTGCGCGAGTGACGCGACAAAACCATCACACATTTTGCGAGGCTTGGCTTGCAGACCAGCATGCTGTGCCTCAGCTAACGAGTGCACTGCCCGATGACCTGCTGTCAGAGCCACTCTCCTCCTTCATTTGCGTGATGAAATTGACTGGGGTCAGCTGCTGCATTGCCCGTTGGCCGAGCGGCGTTGGCGAGAAGCTTCATACCCTGCTTACGAGCTCCCCCCTCCACTTCGAAAGAGCGTCGCCGCCTGCGTGGGCCTCTGCAAAAGCCCAAAACTGATGTGCGTCTTGATTCTCGACAAGGCATTTCCAAGCTGTGTCGCCCATGACTGTGATGTTGGCGAAGAAAAGTGAGCACGCGCCCCCAGAACTCTGGCTGCCTCGCGTGAGCATGTCGGCGTCGGCCACGGTGGGTGACGCTGGTGAACCCGCAGAGCGTGTAACCAGTAGCTCCTCTGCAGCAGAGCTTGCCCCCCGCGAGCTGGCTGCCGCCGATGTAGAGGGAGGGGTTGGAATAGGAGGAGTGGCCGTGGGCGCCGCGGTAGAAGAAGTAGGGGTGAGGCCGTCCAAAACGAGAGCGATTGGTGCACTGAACACAGTGCGATCCCTCTGGAGAGGCCCGAGGACAGCTGCACCTGCCGTCTGCGCCTCGAGCCTCTTCCACGAACCTCGCTTGGATGCTGCCTTGGCCGCGGGCGCCGCTGGTGCGCCTGCCGCCTTGGGGGGGGGGGGGGGGGGGGGGGGGCTCGCGCTTCGCTCGCAGCTCTGCGAACTTGCGCGCGGAAAGGGCATCGGCCGCAGCCTTCAGCTCTGCTGAAGACGCCCCCCCCCCCCCCCCCCCCGTGGCTGCGGCGCCGCTGGCGGCGGCGGCGGGCGCGGTGGCGGTGGCGCCAGCGCCTGGCTCGCCCGCCGCAGTGGTCGGGCTGGCCGCGCTGCCTGCCGCCTGGGCTGCCGCCGCGCCTGCGCCTGCCGCGGCCTGCTCCGCCGCCTGCCGTTTCCTCTTCTTGGCCACCCGCTCCGTGACCTGCATGTGCAACGCCCGCGCCTTCTCGAGGCGCTCTTTGATCTCGCTGCCGCGCTCGGCGAACTGGGACTTGTAGCCCTGCAGCTCGCTCAGGATGTTGCGCAGCTCATCCTTCTCAGACTGCTCGACGCCTTCGAGGTCGTCCACGCTGGCGAACAGCGACTCGTCCCACTTCAGGTCGAAGACGGCTGCGCGGGCCTCGTCTGCGCTGCCTGGGGGCGCCACCTGCCGCGAGAACGCCAGGGCAGCAGCCTGACGCGATTTCTCGGCCTCGGCCAGGATGAGCGCTGCTGCCTGCTCGCGCTCCTCAGCGCGGTGGAGATTCTCGCGGCGCTTGAGCACCTGGGATACTGCCTGTTCGTGCTTCAGGCTGGCGTCGCGCCACGCGCCTGAAGTCCTCTTGACCTGTTCCTCCGCGGAGAGCTGCGACGGCACCTGCTCCTTCAGCGCCTGAGCCGCCGAGGCCGCCGCCGCCTGGGGCGGCTGGCCTGCTGCCAGCGACGCGATGAGCTGGCGCAGCAGCGCGGCCTCCTTGCTGACGGGGCTGGGCGTCGCCGCTGGGGTACCCTGGTCCAGCAGCTGAGACCCGTCCTGTCTGGGCTTGCCTTTGTCTCCCTTGACCTTCGGCTGATGCAACTTGACGGAGTCGCCGCACTGCTTGCATCTGCCCTGCCGCTGAGAGATCTTCTCATTCCAGTCCCAGGTCTTGCACTTCTGACAAGTACTCCAGCGACTGGCCATTGCTCTTTTGAATTTGCACAGCTTCGCCACTGCCTCTGCTAATCGACGGATCGCAAAGGCGGTGCCGCCCAAGCACTACGTTGAAGTGCTGTGCTGGACGCAGGGCTGCCAAAATGGAAGTTATGAGCCCAAGTTGCTTGAGTAGCGACCTGGCAGGAGGAGGAGGAGGAGGAGGAGGAGGAGGAGGGAGGAGGGCGTGCAAGAGGAGGACGAGGACGAGAGCGCCCGCAACGACGCATATAATATACGATTTCTCGGTGCGCGCATCGCCCCCGCGGGGGCGACGCGCATATAGTAGAAGTATGTTGGGGTGACGCCGAATTCTCTGAGCGACGGAGGCGAAGCGCCAATCCGAAAAAAAGGCCCACGCTGCAGCGAGATCACCATGCCGAAACACCGAAAACAATCGAATTGGCAATTAAAAACAAACAGACTAGAAAGCCTTTGCCCAATCCTGTGCAAACGCACAATGCGCGGAGAAAACTGGCCATCTTCTGCATGGAGTCATGCGGGATAGGAAAACAGTAGCAGTAGTAGTCACAATGTGTAAATGTGAAGAAGATTGCGAGCAAAATGCGCTCGCGCCATCCGCCGATCCCTTTCCATTGCGCTGCAGCCTCTTCTATTCGCCGACTGGACTGTCCTATCCATCGCGTGGTGCCGAAACGCAAAATCAATGCAGACAAAAAAATAGAAAAAGCATGCTGTCTTCCAGGGTTGTTATGTCTTCTGTCTTCCAGGATGTTGTTATGTCCAGGGTGTTTTCTGTTCCCTGTCATGCAGTTCACATTGGAGAAGGAAGATGAGGAGGATCAGCAACAGCAAGAGGACGAGGAAGAAGATGAAGAAGAAGATGAGGAAGCAAGACAAAAATCAATGACAACAATACGGTAAAAGGATGAATCACGGGGAGGCGAAGAACCGGGAACGGAAAGTGGCGGCAACGACGGGGGCATCGTATCAGAAAATGCGGCCCGCACCAGGGCGAGAGCGCCATGTTGAACAACGAGAACAAAGCGTCGATCCTCAAATGTGGCCAACACGGCAGCAAGAGCAGCATGTCTTGAAGGACCGAGGGCGTTCCCACTTCGTAGCATGTCGAACATCATAAACAAAACTCCGCGTGATAGCAAAACAATGTGCGGGAATGGGAAGACCAGATCCGCACTTGATCATGTGAGACGATGTAACGTATAACGACACTGAGACTGAGTAGCTATGTAGACGGAGTGTGTGGGAAGAGGGAGAGAGAGAGAGAGAGGAAGAGCTAGGGCGAGATCCATATGTGTAGGAAGAAGGGCGAGAGCGAGAGAGAAGAAGCAAAATACCATACAACACACAACACAACAACAAAACGTGGGGAGGGGAAAGGGTCAAAGAAGGCCCTGGTGCCCTGGGCCCACGGCACCGATCCCTGGAGAGGGGGCCCCCGGAGAGGGAGAGGGAAGAGGACAGGGGCCAGAGAAGGGGGAGGGGGCAACAGAGCGGGGAGGAGTGGAGAGGCAGGCGAAGAGATGGGGGAGGCCGCTCCGTCGCTCACCCTTTCGAGCTCTCCCGAGGCAGCTGTGAAAGAGCGCATCCCACCTGCGGCTGCAGCCAGCGGATAGGGGGCGGAGCCCCGCTCCTGCCTCTCCGGCTTCGCCGCACCGTAACCTCGGCCCACGCTTCCGTCAACCAACCCGCGCCTCCTCCCAGCCGTCCCCTGGCTGCTGCTGCTGCTGCTGCTGCTGCTGCTGCTGCTGCTGCTGCTGCTGCACGCTGCTCCTCCTAATGCTCCTCCCCCCCCCCCCCTGCTCCTGCTGCTGCTGCCCCTGCCCCTGCTCCGGCTCCTGCTCCTGCTCCTGCTCCTGCCCCTGCTCCTCCTCTCACCTCCTCCTTCCCCCGAGGACCGGCGCTGGAGGGCGGAGCGCTGCAACGACTTGTGCACGGGACAGGAGGAGCTCGCTCGGCTCCTGGATGCTGAGAACACCCTGCCCGTGAGACATGCGCGCATCGGAGCTGGGGGGCCCACAAAGGACGTACGCGCCCAACCACGTACGTGAACGCGGCCCTCCAGTCCGCGAGACCAGGCTCGTGATACGAACGCTCGCACTCGAAACCAACGTGGATCCGTGTGCGTGTACGTCATTCGCTCGCTCCTGAGGAGCGGCCGCCCTCAAGCCGCCACACAAGAGGAAGCCAGGACGAACATAAAATCAGGTGAGGATCCGCCGCCGTGCCTGCACGGAGTGGGCTTGTAAGATGGCCTCCAAGACGGCTTCCAAGACAACCATGACGACACCAAAACTGCTCAAGATGGCCCAGGACGGCCCAAGAGGCTCTCAAGACGGCCTTCAGACGACCCAACAGGTCCCCAGAACGGCCCAAAAGGGCCCCAAGACAGCACAAGCAACTCCAAGATGCCATCCTGGAAGTCCGAGGGGGCCAGAACAATTGATGTCCCTTAGATTGCTGAGATGATTTTGAGGTTCGCACCTGTTCGGGACAGGCCAAGAGTCCTTAAGACGGCCGAAGACGCCACAAGAGGCCCCAAAGAGGCCCCAAAGAGGCCCCCTAGAGGCCCCAAGAAGCTGCGAGCAAGCTCCCAGGAATCCCCAGAGGCCCCAAGAAGGCCACAAGAAGCCCTCTCCTCCTCCTGCTCCTCCACACTTTCTCCCTCTCCTCCTCCTGCTGCTGTTCCTCCTCCTCCTTCCTCCTCCTTCCTCCTCCTCCCTCCCTCCCCCCCTCCCTCCCTCCAATCCCCTTCCTCCCCCGCCTCCTGAACTGAACTGAGCCCACACCGGAGGCGAACACAACTAGTCGCTCGAACCGACCACTGGAAAACTGAAACAGAAATCCTCGAGTGGAAGCTCTAGGCGCCTCACCAAAATCGTTATAAACCTCTGTGACATCGGGCGAAGGGGTCGGCGCGCGGCCGCGGGGGGCCTGGCGGCGCCCCGCTCCGACTACGCGGCGACGAGGTCCGATGCAGCCAAGGGGCCCGCTCGCAGGCGCTGCTGACTCTACCTGTGAGCGCACCCCTCCCCATGAGACCGAATGCTATTGTAAGCGGTCCCAGCCCAGTGGGTTCGCCTACGCAAGCCTTGTCACGGGGCGGGGGAGCGCTCAGCGGCCGCCTGGAGCTCTCCCTAGGAGCGACTCCAGTCGGCTTGCCCTTTCTCGAAGGGCCTTGAGCATATGTTCGGCACGCTCACTCTCAGTGGCGCGACACATCGCGGCGACTTGCGCAATCTGCGCGCGCAGCTCCTTCAGCTCCCCCCCTGGAGCTCGTGCAGATCCTTCTGGTGGTCGCGCTCCAGCCTCGAGCGCGGGGGCTGACCCTGGGACAGGATGGCCTGCTCGTGGTCGAAGATGCGCAGCATGGCCGTGCGCACGTCCCTGGTGACGATCGGGCACAGCTCCATGTCGCCCACGCACCGTGGGCCGTCGTCCTCCATCTCCTGCATCTCCTGCTTTGCGCGCCCCACCCCGTGCGCCTTCAGCCACTTCAGGCCCTCCAGCGGTAACATCGTGAGCGGGTTGATCGCCATCGTCAGCTTGCTGCAGGCCGTCGTCGCCTCGCTCTCGTCGAATCGGGCCCTCCTCAGTCGGAACGCCCCGAACAGCTCCCCCGTCAGATAAGGCAGCTCCTCCAAGGCGTCGTTGAGCAATTGCATCACGCACTGGGCGAGCCGCGCCTGCCGCCCGTTGCCCAGGTCGACCTTCGACAAGCTGTTGACCGCCGCCTTCGCCACCTGGATGCGCGGGCTGCCGAGCCCCTTCGGCAAATAGGCCTTGGACTCCACCGCGTCGCTGCACTCCTCCCCGCTGGCTCGCTGCCGACGGGGACGAGGCGGAAGTCGCGCAGTGCGCCCACGAGCCCGCGCTGCCCTTGCATCGCGTCTATCACCCCCTGCTGCAACCGCACCATCATCCCGCCGGGCGCCCCGCTGAAGTTGTCGTCTGCAGGCCCAGCTCCACCATCGCCTTCGCGCGTCTTCTTCTTCTTCTTCTTGGGCTTCCGCTTCGGCTCTGGCGCTGACCCCTGGCCCCCCTTGTCGCCCTGCCCCCTCTTGTCCTGCTGGGTGCTGCCGACGGCCGCTGGTGCCGAGCGTGCCGCCTTGTTGTCGGGAGGCGCTGCCTCGCTCACTGCCTCCATGGTCTGCGCCCTGGCCCTCCTGCCCGCGAGGGTGCCCTCCTGCCTGCCCCCCGTCAGGAAGACGATCGGCGCGGGTCCGCCGCCTGCGCCTTTGCCAGCCGCTGTCGCCATCGCTGCTAGCAACGCCAGAGGAAAGGCCAGTGGGCCCCTCGCGATGAGAACGAAAATGGACTCGAAGCTCGAGCAAATGGACGAAGGACAGGTCGCACGCTGGACATGTCAAGCTCGCTGGCTCGATTGGCTCGCGGCGCCACGGGGAGTGATCGACCATGCACATTATCTCCCTCCTCGTCGCCCCTCCCGATGCCCATCCCCCCGCCGCCCTCGAAACATGTTGCGTCGCCCCCTCCTTCGACGGAAAACAGCTGAGACGCCACGGGCGCTGATTTGTTACGACCAGTCGACGCAACTCATGTTGGAACCCACATCGACCCGTCGATTGCCTCGTTGCAGCAGTACGCCTCGGGCGGCTGCCCCAGTGCTTCCTGGGCTGCCGCACCTAGGCCCATGCACTCCCCGCCTCAGGCTCGGGCGGGGGAACCTGCACAGCAAAGGCCGCCGCGCGCAGGGCCCTCAAGTCCAGCGACAGAAACTGATCGCGGACCCCGCCCTCGAAGAACAAATCCATCATGCCGCCAGGCGCCTCCTGCAAGCTCTCACCCACGTCGTGGCAGTCGCCGCCGACGCGCCCCATCTCGGCCAGGTCCGCCTCCAGCTGTAGACACCACGGGGTAAACGTAGGCGCCGACCATCCGTCTGCGCCGAGCCTGGCACTGCCCATCTCCTCCTCAAATCTGCACTGACCGAATGCCGCCGCGATCGCCTGGTGATGCGCCTCTGGGAACCTCGCCATCCGCTGAAATAGTCGCAGTCGCCGTACCCGTAGTTCCAACCCGGGCTTCGCCAGCTTGCAGCACTGCCACGCCTGCTCGTTCGTCAGTGCCCTGGCGCTGCCGCCCTCCTTCCACTGGGCGTGTCGGCCTCCCAGCAGCGATCGCCGCAGCTTCGTCAGCACCTTGGTGAGTCGTCCGATCTGGCTGGGCGCGATCAGCAGTACGTGGAGCGCGGACAACGCCGCCTCGTACACATAGCTAATGAACTGGAGTCGGGCGCATCGCAGCGGGGCCTCGCAGTACCAAGTGGAGCCCATGTTGTACCAGCCTCTCTTGGCAGCCCGCATCCTGGCCTTGATCTCGTCGTGCACCGCCAAGCCGGCCGCCACGATGGGCCCTAGCGGTCGTGCACTCCTGGCCACGGTCCCCTTCAACGCCTTCGAGTTTGCCACCTTCCGCGTCGCTGTCGTTGCTCCTAGCCCTCTGAGTCCCAACGTGCTCACCGTCTTGTCCTCGTTGGGCCCTCCCCCCTGGGCGCTGATCTCCTTGTTGATGGTGGCCGTGGCGCGGTTGAGGCGCAGGGCGATGTCGTTCCCCGCGGCGGAGTTGGGGATGGGAGTGGTCCCGGCGACGTCGTCCACGAACGCCGCCGCGCCGATGTCGTACACCGTGTCGCCCCCGCCTGGGATCGTCGTCTCCAGCCACCTGTAACTCTCCTCCTCATCCTCCAACATCTCGAAAGCGTCGTCCACGGCTGCAGAGTACGTCGCGACGAACCCCCACGGGATCAAGCTGCCCCCCGTTGCTCCCCCCTCCTCTGGCGTGAACTCCACCGCGCCGTCTGGCGTCGTCACCGTAACGCACAGGTCGCTGAGCAGCTGGGAGAAATACGGCTTGCCGTTCGCCTGCAGCCTGGAAGCCGCGCGCACGTTCCAGCGCCCCCACCTGGTCGCGTTGAAGGCGCCGGCCGCGTCCCAGTTCTGCTGCGCCACCGAGATTCTGGCGTCGCGCAACCGCCAGCGCGCCGACTGGAGAGAGAGGAGCGCTGCCTCTCGGCTGCGGCGCGGCAGGCTGCCATGCGCCCACTCAGGCCATTCGCCAGGTAGTTGTCGTCGTCGGATACCGCTGTGCCAGGCCTGGGCGAGGTGGTCGTAGAGGTGGATCACCCGCTGGCCCTTCAAATCCGCTCTGCCCTTGTTCTTGCCCAGCCCGGTGGCGCGCGCCCTCCCCCCTGACGGCGCGAACGTCCTCTTGACTCTCGTGCCCCTCAGTGGGCCCCACAAGCCATAGTCGAAATTGTCTACCGCGGTCGGCTCGGAATCCACGAACCCCATGCCCATTGTCGCGCTGCCGATTCTCTCCATCGGCGCGAGGCAAATCGCCATCATCTCGGTGCAAACGCCCCATTCTGGGAAGGCCTTTCTCCTTGGTGCTCTTCGGCAGTACTTCTGAATGGACTCCAGGTCGTGGCGGACTTCATCATGTAGGCCGTTGTCGTGTACTGGGTCTCTCCACATGCCCTGTGCTCGCAATGACTCACCCCTCTCACTTGCCTTATCCAGGTGAGCGCCCCAGCTGGTCTCTCGCGCCCTCATGCCTCCAGCGACCCCCGACTTGGCCATGCCCTCCTTCCACTCGACGGCGCCCAGCGTGCAGTTCGCCGCAATGTACGCACGCTTGCG